TGTTTTTAGAACACGATTACATGAAATAACACATTGTGATTTTATAAGTTTTTAAATTAATACATAATATAAAGGGGATAGGAAATCGGTTAGGTTTTTAATTTTTATCTATAACACGCGTGAAACAGGAATTTAGACGTGTTTTCATTTTAACGTGCCAATTGATATAATAAAACGATATAAATTCTGAAAACAGATTTTAATTTTACGTCAATTCTACTGAAAATTGGCTGTCCAGTAATTTTGATTTTATACTTTCATAAATCTTCACTCCAAAAAAAAATATATATATATATATATAGATCAATATTGTTAATATTTAAATGTTTGAAGAAAACAAATAAAAATGTGGGAAAGATGATTTAAATCAGTCGTTACGAAAAATTCAAATCTATTTTCAGAATTCCCTACGTTGTGCGTGTGTTAGGCAAAACAGGAAATCACAGCTTCCAATATCCACCTAAGAATATGGATCACTTCTATTGTAATAACTAATAGCGATATATACTTCATAGTATTAATTATTATCTTCAGCTCATAAGTAACTTGTCTTCAATACTGTAGTTTTGATAAGATGTTTAGTAAACACAAATACACAAAAGGTGGGCAAGTGGGTGTCGCTCTGCTGTACTGTAGGTTACAAGTGGGTCACTGTATAATGGATGGTATTCAATTTGAATTCAATGATATAATATCATTGTATAAGAAAAACGATTCTGAGCGGTGATGGTATGTCAGTCTATGTATAAGACATATTATATACATATCTATGGTATTAAACAAAAAATTGACCTATAATAGGTACCTATAATAAATTCCAAACTAATCATATCACAATATCCATTAGATACTTATAACGCGTTATACATCAACAAAAACCGTGATACTATCATAGATATATAATAGTACACTTTAGAAGTTTCAAGTACCCACGAATAGTATTATTCAATCACAACAAAATAACTAAAATCGTAATTCTTGGTTTAAATATGAAATTTTGTCTAAATTTGAAATTAAAATGTCTGTAAAAAATAAGTGTGTTTATATATTTTTTAGATTTTTTGGTTACAGTATGAATTATTTAAGAGAATCTTTGTTTTAAATTTTCAACTCTTAGTTATAAAAACTGAACATTTTATAATTTTTTAATTCCAACGATTGATAATTTTCGAGATTTTGATAAATTTTGTCAAAATTCCAACTTTAAATGCTTATAAAAAAAAATCGTGCCTATGTATTTTTAATATTTTTCAACTGATATTGTAACAATATATCAGGAGCCTTGTATTAAATTTTTACACTTTTTGGCCCAACAGATAAAACTTTATTGATATTTATAGAAAAAAAAACTAAAAAAAATTGAAAGCTGTAAATGTCCATAAACAGCTCAAAAAGAGTCAAAATATTTTCAAAATTGTATGGTGTATATGAAATGCTAATATAAACATTCAGTGAAATTTTCATGTATCTACAGTTATTCGTTTTTGAATTACAACAAAATAAGGAAATCGCTACATGAGAAATCGAGTGAATATCCAATTTTGTAATAATTTGTATTTCAAACGCTCATAAAAATTTAATTTGACTGTCCGGTAGAGATTTTTTTATTGATAAAGGTAGATAATCTTATAAGGAATCTTGTGTTTCATTTTCAAATCTTAGATTTAAAAAGAAAAATTTTTACGAATTCTTAACTCAAAATAATTTGCTAATTTTCGTGATTTTTCCATATTTTGTCAATTTTTGAACTTTAAATGCTTATAAAAAAAAATTGTGACTAAGGATTTTTAATATTTGTCATCTGCCTTTGAAACAACATATTAGGAGCCTTCTATTAAATTTTCAAGCTTTCGCAACCAACAAATAAAATTTTATTGATATTTCTAGAAAAAAAACTAAAAAAAAATGAAAAATGAAAATGTCCCTAAACAGTTCCAAATAAATCAAAATATTTTGAAAATGTTATCGTGTATAGAAAATGCAAATATAAACAACCAGTGAAAATTTCATGTATCTACGGTCATTTGTTTTAAAGTTACACCAAAAACCAAATTCGATTTTTTGGAAAATCGATTTTGCGTAAAAATTCCCGTTTTTCCTTAATTTTTATGTTGTTTTTCCCTGCGCTTGTGAAAACTACTGGAAAATGTTTACTTTTGACCCCCCAAAGTACCAACTAGATTCACTTTCCTATCAGAAAAGGTACTATTGAAGAAAATCGAAGCACTTTTACTGTCCCAAAACGTGATGACAGACACAAAAATATAAATAAAAATATAAAAATATAAAAAAAAACATACATCATTGTAAAACCAATACATTCATCGCTCCGCTCAGAATCTAAAATATAAAAATATAAAAACATACATCATTGTAAAACCAATACATTCATCGCTCCGCTCAGAATCTAATACAAATTAAAATTAATACTCAAATGTATTATACTGTATAATGCTTTTTAATAATTTGTGACAATAGTCTATGAAAGCGTAAGTCTTTTTTTTCTTTATTACAGTTAAAGCTTCCGTATTGTATTTATTGTATTTTATAGATATGGGTAGGACACGTCAAAATATACGAGTATCTACCTATATTTAATAAACGCGACGTTGCCATATAGGTAGCCACGTAAATAAATTGTTTGCATAAAAAATATTTAATTTATAGTTTAATTTAACGTTCACGCAGTATATCGAATATTTTTTATTATTATTATTTTATGTTATAGGTACTTATCAATTAAACACAAATCTCTCAATATATTTAATATCAACATTTATAATATAAGTACAGCCGTATAGGTATAAGTTTGTATCAGAAATAGCAGACAAATATGTAGTTAAGTAATAGTGTAATAACACTCGTTCTAATCAATGTTTAATTTTTTTTATAGTTTATATATAATTAACAATTACTATGTTACTAACTAGGTATATATAAATTAAAATTATTTTTCTTTATGATTGATAAAAGTAAAAGCTGTAACATATTAGCATATCGGTAGTTACAACTGTCAGCTACCTACTTCCATAGACTTATAGTACCTACCTACAATTTATAATAACGAATATACCTGATGACATTTTTACAAAAACTCATTTTCAGTTTGATTATATACCAAAAAATGTGTAAACTAGGCATATGAAAAACATTTATAATTAATTAAACATAAAATATGCGTCGTATTTCTTTGTTCCAATACACGATCACTACAGTTTTGTGTGATTGCTGCCACTCGTGATCGACGGATTTTATGTCTCCTATAAGATATAAAAATAAAACACATCCACAGTCTGTAGTATTAGTATACCTACATGACTAAATTAATCGGTGGTATTTACTATATATAGGTAAGTACGTTTACAATTTGTGTAAACTGTATAGCTAGACTAATGTTATCGTCAAGATACGTTATTCGTAGATAATTAAATGACAAAGTTCCAATTAAAATACTTTCAAACATCAAACCATGTCGAGTAAATTTTCATAAAATGTTTCATACGTTTATAAAAATATGTAGGCAGGTAATAAGAAATAAATTTTCTTATCTCAATCAACAGACTTAGCTTGCAATCATAAAAATATTGGTAATAACCAAATATGTTCTTCCAATAGTATTTCAACACATGAAACAGTGGCGACTCCTAGGGCTTAATTTGGGGGGGGGGGCAAAATACAAATATTGGCTAAATACAGTGTAAAACAAAAGGAAAATACGATGATTGGGGAGGGGGGGGGGGCAAATGCCCAATTTGTCCACCCTCTGGATCCTCTACTGACATAAAATAATTAGTAATTGATGTATTATTATACTTTGACACCTTGTACAGTTGTACTCATACAATTATAATTGGAGGTTCTGAAAAATAAATAATTCACGTTCAACACGTTGAGTGCTTATAATATAGTCCTTAAATACGCCAAGTGAGATTCTGTTAGATACCTAACACTATTTATCACTATAGCAGGACTATTTTAATTATAATAATATATATTATATTATTGTAGGTATAATTAATATATATACATATTAGTAATAAATAAATTATAACTATAATTATAATTTATACCTGTAGGTATACACTATACATATTGCAATTACTATCACTATTGAATTAAAATCTTTGAAGAGTTGGCTTATAATTTATAAATAAAAAAAGTATAACCTATCTTTTATTAAATTTCCAAATTTGAAATATAAAGACATTTTTTTTATAAATTTCCAACTTTAAATAGTTTGGACATTTTCATGATTTTGACAAATTTTTGCGATAACGCAAATTTAGATTTTCTACACTAAGTTTTAAATGGTTCCATGGATAATCCTGAATTCCTTATTTCATATACATTATATATTATACATTGTAGAGTCCCTTCGCATCCTTCCAGAAACCGATCTTAATTTGTATATACCAAAACACAAGAACTTATATTATGGGCATAAGAATAACCATGCTCAGAGCTGATGAATAACAATTATTAATCCTTGGGCCTAGGCGCCTAGCCACTTTACAGTTTACATATATTATATCAGTTAGTATCATGTAATTTTTGCACCCTGTTTTCTCTGTAAAATAACTACTTATGTATACTAGCAGACTAGCTATAATTTGTACCTAACTACTTACATACAAGCATAGTAAGTAAAAATGCCATACCTGTTATTAAATATAAGTAAAATGTCCGTATAATAAACAACAATAATAATAATACAATGTTTTTAAGGACATTGAGACCAACTGATGCAATTGCCATGCACATATTATTATATTTTACATAAATATACAATACAGACGGACAGAACTTCAGCTCACTTTAAGCATATATAGGTACTACCAAACAGCAATAATAAATATTTTGTAAATTACGTTTATTTTTTTAAAAAAGTTATTGAACCTAATATAAAGAGGATTTACCATTAGGCATTAACAATACATTATTTAAATCATTATTTATGTTAATTGTACAGAACATTTAATAAATAAAATTTCACTTGTATTTTAATCATCATTTTCCCAATCTTTCAATAAGTCTTCTACAAGTTTATCTTTTTTATCGTCTGAATCGTCTGATAATTTGTTCTTCGGTTCAACTTCATTTGTGATTGGTAAAATTCCACTTATATCGAGATCTAAATCTTCACTGTAAACACAACCATCACTTTCCCAGTCTTTCAATATATCTTCAACAAGTTTATTTTTTTTAACATCTGATAATTTGTTCTTTAAATTCTTTTTTTGTTTTTTTTTTTGTTTATTGTTTCTTTGACTTTTTGTGGGAGTCACTCCAGTTAAAGGGTTTCTTTTTCCACTCATTATTGCAACATTGGTATTAATAACCTATACAAAGTATAAAATAATAATTAATTTAACTAAGTAAATAAAATTTAGTGTTGCACATGCCACAATTCTAAACAAATTCAAAACGATAAAATAATAGAATAATTTAGATAAATCCATTTAAGGCATTTTTAAACACCTTTGTTAAAGTAAAAGCTTTCAACCCAAACTAACCAATACCACATAAACATCCAAAATTGTCACTTAACCCAATAGGTAGTAGATACTCTAAATAACGGGAAAAAAAATTATTATTGAATACCTGTCCAATTGGTGTTTAAAAAAATCCAAATAAACATATTCAATAATAGGTAAAGGATATTGAAAATTAATTTTTGTACTATATTTTTTTTTTATCTAAGAATTTTGTCAAGATCAGATCTTAGAAAAATTCTAATTAAATACTATAAACCAAAAACTCAAATTCCATTCGGTTTCTAAGCACTAGTTTAATATAAATAGTAAAACTTAAGGTAGGAATTTGAAATATTTTTTTTATTATGCATCATGGCATCTTTCATCAGTAGGAATACATTGTCCTATATATTATTTATTTTATTTTATGCTTCTTTTATAAATTACATCAACTACAAATCAGGTAACTAAATTTAAGTGATCAATTTCAAAAATGAATAAAGTACTATTCAATTAGTAAGTACTAATTAGTAAAATTGCTAACAAACCATTATGAAATAAACATAATACACAAACATAAGCAGCTAGAAATAAAAAAAATTTAAAAGAAGTTCTATATAAAACATTACTTTGGATTATTTTTTCATCCCAACATAAAAGTTTTAGAATTAAAGAGTGCTACACTACAGCATATTTTTTATTCGAGTACAATTTTTACTTTCAAATAAATAGTACCACTATTATGTACCACACTACCAGTTATGCATATCACCACCATTACTTATCTACCCAAAATGTATGAAACTATATCACAAAAATTTTAAAAAAAAAATTTTGTTTTCAGAAGACATAATCTACAGAATAGATATAGGTTAACGGTTTACCTGTATACTTTGTTTTATTTTATTTAAAGGCACTGATGCCCCAGTATGCATAGTCAATTCATGTGACACTCAAATTGACTATGCATACAGACAGAAGTCTGCATTTTTTGAAAATATTGACACTTATATTAAAAAAAACAGAGTAAAATGGATTATTCTGATCATAAAATTAGCTATGTTTATCAGCTAGTAATACCGGAATGAAAACATGCAGGGACAAGTATTTATCAAACACATTATTAATTTCACCCTCAAGTAGCTGGTTAGTCTGCTGGTTCATTCAATGAGTAATTGACTTCTTAGCTTTGGTCACAATCACAGTATTACAATGTGGGTTGGTTAATGAGAACCAGAGTCATTTTCAACCAACAATTTGTGCCAACTACATGTCTACATAATACAGTGAAACTTCTATATTACGAAGTCTCGTGTAGGTAGCATAAAAAAAATTGTATTATAGAGAAGTGGTAGTTTTACTTTATATACGTATATTTTTTTTGTTCAACCCATAGCTACAAACTAAGTTTCCCTACTCAATTATCCATTTTTCAAGGTCATTCAACATTTGTTTGAGTGCTCTATTATAGCTCCCACCTCCCACACTTTTCTTAATTTGCTCAATAAATATGTTACTGTATTGCCCAAGATGTCTTTTTCCTTCAATAATGTCATCTATTATTATACTGTATAGTTCTTATTGGTGTCTAAGTGTATATTCAACCATTTTCGATATTCTCACAGTATGTCAGTAATAACTTCATTGTTAATAATAATATGAATTATTATAATATTTAATAATGTAATATAAATAATCTTATATACCATATTACTTATATTATAGGTAGTAATATAGTCAATATAGACATATAGTATTAATAATAATAACAGAAAAAATATGTATTATACTATTATGAGAGTATGATACATCCTTAGAAAGATAAATTGTAGGCGTTTGCTTAAAATTGAATTTCTTAGCTCAGGCCAATTACAGATGTCTTAATCTCCCCCCTGCCTTCGGGTTTTGGGATTACTGACCAAGTACATATTTTATTTTAATTTGTTTGACATTCTTACAAGATTTATTCTATTTTTTGTTATCAGAGGGTAGTCGAAACATTTCTCCTGCAGCGCTTAGATAAAAAATTATAACAGTTATTTTTTTCATGCAATCATTTAGTGTTTTAGATTGACATTTTTAGAATTTTAGTTCTGAAAAGACGTCGAACAAATTCAAACTATTAACAAACAAAATATGTACCTATAGAAATTCCAAATTCCAAAATAAGGTGGGGTCAGTAAAATGTATCTTTTGTTTATTTATAGAAACCAATTATGTTAGTATGTTACTAATAGTAAAATAGATTAGTATAATAGCAACATAATTAATATTTGACAAAATATACTTAATAATATTGGATGCCAGACCGTTTCCACATAGAATCCTTTTTTATATGCAATGATTTGTTATTGAATTCAGATTGAACACATCCATTTCAATGACCTACTTGTCCAACTCAATGACAAGATGCCATCAATTACTCAAAAAATAAAGATGAAATTTTGCAGTTTTTCCCATCGTTTAAATTATATTTTTATTTATTTATATAGGTAGGTAATATATTAGGATATTAGATATTATTGTAATCTGGTTCCTATATACTATTTAATTCAGTTTTGTTGAATAAGTACCTTAGTACCTATAACTTATAGATGTTTTTTAGAACATTTTTTTTTCAATACAATATAAAGCAACTATAACAAAAAGTTTTTTCATTATAATATTTGATTACAGGTAGGTACTTACCAAAAAATCAATAATTTCTCTACATTTAAACTTTTAATCACTGTTATTACAGATTTCAATTTATGTTGTTTCATTTGTTTAAACAAATGTTAAATAATAATATAATATCTATATTTATTTTCATTTAATTTTTATATTTAATAACTTATATGTAAAACCTCAAAGTTAACAATTAGTATTTAATAGTTTTTGTTGTACTGCATAAATCTTAATGAAATGGATAATTATTTATGATGAGTTCAAATTTAAACTTAGTACTGAAACTCAAGCCTTTTTTAAAACAGGGATCGTTAACCCGCGTATGGTGGGCCACATGTGACCCTCATTCATCACTGTAACCCACGAGTAAAATTTATAATTTGTACAAAAATCATGAACTATAAGATGGTATGGACTAGGAACTGTGGATTAAAATATTGTTTGTTTGCAGATGATAGGTACCTTGTTAAATTAATAAACTTAACAGTTATGTACTTGAAAAGCTAAATTGTATAATATGACCTATACATTTTTGTTTAAAATAAAATAAGGTATTTCAAATTATGGAAAGTGGAAGTATTTATAACATTGTAGGTATTAGGGTGTTCTAATAAAATACTATATTTTTATATAGGTGCTGATATTTTACATTGTAATTTAAAAAGGTCAAATAACAAATCTAAATGACTAATGCTTACATATATATACAATAAATATCAGTAGTTAATCTTAATGCTCAAGTCAAAATTGACACAGTATGTTTGTAGACTTATAAAGTTATAAATATATTAATATAATAATGTCTTATTATAGTCGTATAGATTAATATATTATTGTTGGGTTGCAGGAACAATTAATTAATTTGTGGGCCACTAAATCATATTTAAGGGACTATTAGCTCACTTGCTCACTATTGATTCAATAAATGTTTAATTATTGTTCATGCAGCCTGGCATAATATGTATATAAAGTTATATATATTTTTTTAAATAAAATAATTGAATTTAGTCTATATTATAGGTACTCAGGTACTCTATAATTAATAGGTATTATAATTTTTATCATTCTATAAATTATGTTAACTTACCACCCACTTTTAGTTGAATAAATTAAAAAAATATACCCTGGAATTCACTTTGTTGAATAGTAGGTGTGAAGACATTGTCGACTGTACCTTGTCGCTGAGTAGACCACTGAAGAGTATGTAATAGATCATAGATTTGTTAAATATGAATTGAATGATAAATATTGCATACGGAAAATCATTCTGAGCGGACACAGTCTATAATATTTTTAAAGATATATTATACATTTATACTGCTATTGCCTATAACTAATTTATTTTTCTAATTCATAACTAACAAGATATTATAATTAACTGTTCACTTATAAATTATAATGCAAGTACCTATTGTATTGTACTAAATCCTGATATTAGAATTACTCTCTGTTGAAATATCCAATTTCATCAAAATATAAAATAACCAAAATGATTTTATAAAGAAAACTGCATTAATGCTCATTAATATACATGCTTGTATTATAGTATTATCACAGATAATATATACAATTATATTACTATAATCTGTGGTAGGTATTATACTAAAAATTTGTAATTACTGTAGATTACTTAAGTGCAATACAATTTAATTTATAAATTAGTGTCATAGAGATGTATGAAACTGCTGTGATAGGAAACCTACGAACATTATACATGCGACTCTGTGCATACTAATAATAATATACTTTACCTTAACGTCAATACTCGGGAAAATGGTGTCGCTAATAATTTGTCAGTCCGTAGTAGATCAAGAATCGTTTCGTCACTGCAGCGTGAGACGTGGTGTAATCGTCTACTTTATAATATAAGATTATTAGATGTACATTAGAATTCGCGGGTTCGACAAATAAAATAAAACTAACGAAAGCAGTGCGGCCGATGTGGAGCGATGAAGACGAATAAAAAGCCGCGACGGCAATGTCAAAGTGGTCAAACTACGGAAACGTTGAGGATATCCTCGGCCCAAACGTTGGAAATTACCAAACAGGCATTATTCGAATATACGTAAACAAACCTGGCGGACTCGGAACCTCACGGAATACCCCGAAAAATGTTTCTTCGACAACAGAAACTAATAATAGACACGTCAAAATAATAATATCGAAGCCGACAT